AAACTACTGGACTCTTAATAGAAATATAGAAATATTATTTTATTATTACATTAATATAGCACAATGTTTAGCTTTGGATAAAAGTAGCTGAAGTATTTGTACTTCTACTTAAGTACTGAATGTGTGTACTTTTGCCACATCTGGCTCAAACCTTATCCTATGTCACTTTATTTACCAGTATCTTACACTTTGCTGACCATTCAGCTAATAAGTCTCGTTTTTGTGTCAGAGGGTAGTTTGACTGATTTTCAGCTTTTACATTTAAGGATTACAACTGCTTGCTGTATTGTAACCAGTGTGGGAACACTTCAGCTAGTGAGTAGATAGGTTAATCAATATTTGCTTCACTGGCCATATTGGCCATATGCATAGAGACACATTTTAAAAAGTGAATAAAAACCTCAACTCTTGACAGATAACAGCCTCTGCATATTCTTCATCTAATGCTTCCATTGTTTTACATTTACCGAACCTCAGGGCTCACACATCAAACCAAACACACAGTCTTTAAATGTCATTTCAATCGTGTTCGGCATTTACACTACAAATGGCTGCTCAACTGCGTTCACCATGTACAAAATCAACAATAAGCACTATAACCTTCAACTGAAACCCTTTCAGTGCTTCAGTGATATTTCCTGAATTAACTGCTCCACTGAGTTCAGACTTTACACATCAGCTGACATGCCCACTTCATCTGCTTTCATTTAAATGTTTCAGCTGAAGTTCATTTTAATTGTAAGTGAATCAATACCTGCGTTTAATCAAAAACCAGTTCCACTGTTTCCATCTTAAGCTTGCATTTCATTTACGTTTCAAATGTACATTCATTCTGCTGCCTTCAAATGCTGATGAACCAAACAGTACACCCATTGTTTCGACCTTGTTCACTGTTCAAACCCTTTCAGATTTCAGCTCTTTACCTTTAAACAAAAGCCTTGAACTGCTCCTAACCAAGAACTTCTATTGGTAGCACACAACAAGTAGACCACTTGTCCTTGTATTAGTTTTTCCATTGTCCTTTCTTTCAGTATTGGTATTTGAGTGCCACTTCAACCAGAACTTCATTTTTTTTCTTCCAGTGTTACAGCTGCAGAAATTCACCCACAAGCAAAAATGCTACGATAACATCAGAGTGACCTGAAAATGTTGAGTTTGATGTATGATTCTCCGTTTTTAACCTAAGAATCAAACTTCTTCTCTATTTAAAAGCTTTAAAACTCCATCATCCACCAATTCGGAGTCCCTTTCTCGTCTCCCTTTGGACTCTGTCTTTACCCTCTTTTCACTTTCCCTTTTTTCTTCTTAATGATGTCTCACCTTCCACCCTTCCTTTCATGGTCCCCGGTTGTTTTTTGACAGGAGCTTCCAAACTTTCCAAGTCAGCACTTTGAGTGCAGATGGAGTTGCGCAAAACTTCCTGTTATCAGCAATCACTGTGAATTAATGGACTACTGTATCAGAATAACTGTTTAACAGGATACAGAGATGTACTGCAGTAGATAAGAGAGCATTAAAGGGAGGTGTGACAGCTGTTGCTGCAAACAAACACTGCAGTAAACACACATTCAAGTCTCGAAAGAGTTTCTTTCTAACACTGCTCACAGTGATCTCTGCAGGATGCACCGAACAAGGCTTTGATTGTGATCTGTGGAATTTTAGGCGGAAGTTTTCTCCAAGTTTAAAGTTACACCTGAAGTGAGATACTGATTTCCTGCAGGAACATGCTGCGCTATAAACACTTTCACATTCAGGAACTCGTGCAAAGCATCTTAGATAAAACTGTAATTATGCTACAGTTCAAAGGTTTAGAACGTTGCTATATGGAAAACATATTTCAAGGTCAAACTAAATTAACTTGATCAGAAATTTGTAAATAACAAAGATTGTGGATCTATAATCATTATGTGTTTATTATGTTTTTTTTAACTGCATCTGCACTTTAGAACCCGTTTTTAGAGAGCCTCACTCCTGTTCTAAAGACACATTGTAATACTCAATTAAAAGGCTGATTAAACATTTTAAAAATCCATTCTGTAATTATGTTAGTACATATTAAAATTATTCTGCTGACTTAATAAGTATCTAGCTGAGTACCTGGAGCATTAACATCAGTAGATTACAAGCCCAGAATGGTCTAAATTCATCAAAGTATTCTTGTTTGATGAAAAGAAGGCCATTTGAAAACCTCAACATTATGTATTATTCACTCCACAGAACAACACAAACTGAGTCGAACCAGGAGAAAGTTTTAGCTTGAACCTGATTGTGCTGCTTTGTTAACTGCATCACACACTGTTGTATGAAACATCAGTGTTTTGGCAGTTTCCTACAGTCAATAGGCTTTATTGCTTAATAGCCGGATGAGTCAGAGAATAAAACTCTTATTAAGAAAGGC